TCTATCCCGATTAAATGCCCATGAGATAAAACAGGAATACGCGGGCAAAGACGTGGGTAAAAGTTAGTCACCAATAGAGTAATCGCTAAGTGGTTACCGGTGACCGCTCGGGGATTACTCTATTCACTCCATTTTAGATCTTATTTCCGATGCTTAGAGACTTTTGAATAAACAAATTTTGTGAAATTTGCGTAATTTTTTTATTTTTTCAAGTGGTTAAAATGTGGGTTAGTCTTCCGTTTTGTGAAGAATATGGCTTAAGTAAGCCATCTACACCTTTTTGCTTATAATATCATTGGTTAGATCATACAAAGACTACAGCTAAGAACAAAATGCATTTAAAGCAAAATGATTTGTGATTTAGAATTTCTTTGTACTATTCAATTAGCTAGCTATGTTATAAACAAATATGAGTGAAGGCTCCGTTTTTACGCTTCTAGGAAGTTTCACGCAAACCTTAATACTATTTTCTTTGAGATTTTACATACCCATTTAGCTATAGAATTAAATAGAATTTCTTTTTGAGTTTCTAAACAAATTATCTCTTCAATTCTATAGTTGAATAAGTATATTTCATTTATGCTAGTAAATAGTGACTCTTTATATGATCTAATACAGGTATATACCTAGAAAAGGGAAGGTAATTGACTAAAGAATTTGAAATTAAGAGGACCTTACAAGAAACCCATTCTTATGCAAACAAATATCATTAAATAGGTATTTTGGTAAAGTGTTATTTACATTAAAGTGAAGGTAGGAATAATATACTTACAGTTTAATAAATTAAATAAACACATACTCATAATATAGTAGTTACTAATCTAATTTAAAATATTAATTTAATTCATTATGACAACATAACAACAAGTACGTTAGAATACACATAAAATAATAATTAAGTCGTTCTTAAATAAAGGTTGACCAACTACCAAACTATTAGGGTATGATTACACTAAGCAAGATTTGTAGACTTCTTCAAATAGTCTTGACAGTGTAGAAGTGAGCAGTTAACTTGGCTCAGTGTAACAACATCCTTACATCAACTTCTGCTAACGAAAAATATGTATAGATCGACTATGTAAGGGCAACTTTAAACTTCGGAGCCTAAGCAATTTGGACGGCGAAGCAGAGGTAAGCATCGACAAATGCTTATTTCAATACAATATGAACTTTAACACTGCAATTTTAGGGTTTATTTCACAAAAATAGGTAATTTCTTTGGCAGTGATTCTTTGGTATTTGGCAAGGAGGAATGTTTTAGTTTTGTGCATAACATTAAACAGCAAAAGATTCGCTTGCACATTAATTCTTAAGACGAAGAAAAATAGCTCTTAAATGCGTAGCAATAACGACTATTTTCATTCAGATGCGGATTTAATTTGGCAAAAGGCACATCCAAAGGACATCAATGGTTTATATAGTTTGAAAATTTAATAAGGTGGCTCCTTGATTCTGTGCTATAACATCAAGAGAATAACGTTCATTTTCCTTCAGCCCTTACAGCGATATTATAATAGCTATTTATAGAATAATAATTCCTTTTTACCTGTACAATTTGTAATGTATCAATTGTTGATTTACTTATGTTACAAACTATACATCTTATGTTCCTATGTCGAGCCGTTGTCGCCGTGTTGCCGTATCGTACCTCTATTAGTCAAGGCATATAACTTATACTATATATTTTTACTACAAGTAAAGCCTCTGTTAACCGTATTATCAAAATAGGTAGGTATTGAGTGTGTTTACAACAAATTCAATAAGGAATTTCGAAAAAGGAATCTATGTGTTGGGTCGAAATAAAGATCATTTTTGCTTGAACTATTAAGCAAAAATGTCAACGCGAAAATTTCGAATTTCCTTATTAAATAACAACAAACAAGTATAAACTTAAAACTAAATTATAACTTAAATGCCAAATTCAAATATTGATTAAAAATACAACCGAAACTTAGTAACTATTCCATATAACACCCAGTTATGAGTAAAGCTTTTCTTTATTATTTATATTTTCTTTATATCTTTCTGAATATTGTTAACAAAGGTATTTGCTATGGGCCAGGCATTTACAACATTACGAGTTAAAAGTGGTAAAGGACTCCAAGTGATACATAAAAATATATTCTTTATCTTTTAAAATGAACTTTATTTCAATTAGCTTTCGTTCATAATTTCTTTACACAGTTAATTGTGTTGTTATTCGACGAGATTACATTCAATTTACTGTTTCTTTAGCCTTTAAAGTTAATACAATATTGAGACGTTGAAAAATGGCGGACGCAATCTCATTAAGAAATGATGGAGGACATAAAATCCCTGTGGTTTATTTATACGTGCGTGTGTAATGGGTTACCACATTAACAGACAAAGATATTACCCAAAATTTGGAAATAATTTGCATAAGTATGTCAAGCTAAGTAGGCTATGTTAAGTGACATAATTATATACTTCGTATGAATGTGTGTATGTTCTATCGTATTGGAGACTCGGTTATCAAAGAGGAAAAAGAAGTGTGTATTTTCTGCGTGTAAATATATAGTAGCCGGGGGCCACAGTCGTTGTCTAAAGAGACTGTGTCCGCCATTTTTTTGAACGTCCTTGATTGAGCCTAATAACTTGGCTAGTAAAAGCATTGACTTGACAATTGAATTCTCTCCTTATACTCGTAAATGCAAGTTTACAAAGATCAATATAATTTAGTATTAAATAAATGCATTCTCCTTTACAAACATTTGGTCCAAGTCTCTTAAACCATTAAGAGGTTGGACACTGGTCGAATAACAACAATAAACTGTCAATAGCAACGCCAGCGACACGAGATAAAACCTCTTTCATCACTTATAAGTCAACCTTATACCTTTGCAGTCTTGGTTTAATTTTGAATGACTAACGAGCAGTTTCAATATCTTATCGGTAGATAATATTGAAACTTATTCTGTAGCGTCAAGTACTAAAATCCATCGATAGATCATTGAGACTGGCACGTTAATGTAAATAGGTGGTAATTTACAATAGAAAGTAGACTTTATAGTATGATGTTAGAGTACAAAATACCTCGTATCGTTGAGTTTATGGGGCTGGTCGTAGAGACGTTTTGATGGTAATTGGTGCTCACTGGAACTCATCATCGGAGCTGAGTAGCGTAGTCTTCTCGTGGTAGTTGGTGGCGTGGCTGATGGTGGCGACGCGTTGTGGCGGGGGGCGCGGCGCTAGAGCCCCGCCCTCCTCTCGCTTCCCTGCGCCTGCACCAGCCCGCATTACTACGTACAAAATGATATTAGTCACAATGTTCTAATGTGATGTGCGGACCACGAGAATGTCAAAGCGTTCAGGGTTAGCACAAATACTGGTGTAATTAAGTTAGGAATTCTGCTGTCCCACCACCATTTTGTGTCTCATAAGAGCTAAGACAATGGAAAACGGATTATTAAAAGTACTTACATTATTTTTAAACCCAAAACGCTTAAACACGTAATTATTTTTTGTAGTGTGGTGGTATTCCATGTTATAAGTGCCTTTGTCTACTTCATTATAAAGTGAGCACTATTCGTGCATTCTTTGTGATATACCTGCTTGTTTAACAAAGTAGGTAGTACTTTTCATACATCATCAGTTATAATTGGGATGATGACAGGGTAGGAAAATTTAAAATATAATTAGTCCGTAAGTTAGGTAATGAAAAAATATTTGACACGTATTTTTTAATTTTGTCGTATAATAAAACAATACTAAGATAAAACGAATCAAAGTTTAGGAGTGGGGGCTAAAACGTCATTTCTACGTATAAAATGTACATAGTGACGTCACACGACATTTCAAATCGAAGAAAATAAAAAATACGTGTCTAATATCTACCAGACGGACATTAAAATAAAAATTAGGCGTCTACCCTATACAATGTCAGTATCAGTGTCAGTGGTACCACTTAATTATTTCATAATAGCAACACTACACTGAGTATCATATTGGAGGGCAATTAAAATGTGTGTGCAAACTACCGTGTTGCGTATCATTCAAATATTGTGTAAAATTAGTTTAAGGGACTAACGCCCGAACACTGAAAGGCTAATCAATTTTAAGTTGAACTTAAATATCGTGCCATCTCTGTCATTTTACTAAGAATAAGTAGAGACAGAACTATTTAAGCACGACTTAAATGAGCGACCTTTGAGTATTTCAGCGTGAATGTCAGTTTTATAACGGTGTATTGTATTGTAATACTTTATCTATATAACATTCTGGCGACACAAACAAAAAAGCTGATTTTCAAAACGTGCGTAAATGATGTCACACTCAGTGAAATGTCAAAACATTCAAATGTATGATAAGCATGCCAGCAAATTATAATAAAAAAGCGATTTTTAATGTCTTACCTTTTGTCTTCTGTGTGTACAGTATTATGTGTGTGTGGGTATCTTTTTTGTATATTGTACGTAAGTAAAATCCAAATATAATTAGGTAATATCTTTTATTATTAGTGAGAGGCGAAATACAAGTGTTTTTTAAAATCAAACTGTGGTGAACTGTAAAAAATAATTATTATAACTTAAACCTACCAGAACTATGCTATAAATTTTTAATTTCAATATAAACTAGAACTAAAGTAAAAAATCTCCTATTTAAAAATAATATTATGATAACAATATTTAGGAAATGAAAACGTAAAGTATGGCTTCACAGGTTGTTAGTTTCATATTAAATTAAGTTATTGTTACACTTATGAAGCGCGCATTATTACAAAGCATAGACAACTTGTCTCGACATTTTACTGAAGGTGGAAACATGAAATGCCGTTCTTTGGTTTGGCAATAAAATGTGCAGGTTCACTTCCACAGATAAAAGCAAAATTAATTTAAAAATAGAATGTACAAAATCAGAACAACCCGATAAATGCCAGATATTTTTATACAAAAAGTATTTACTGTCGCGGATATTTCTCCGGATTTTTTCTAGCAACATCTAAGGATCATATCCTGTAACTATAGAGTAACAAAATAATATAAAAAGAAAAGTAATATAATCACAGAAAATAACATTTACACTAATCCTTACACGACACATACTAAAGGCATAAAGTACAAAGTAGCTAATTATTTTATGGCAATGAATAGTCCGAATATTGTAGCAAACAAGAATAATTCATAATCTGCTATACAAAATGTAGGTTTCCGCAGGTGAATCTTACTGGTATCCACAAATAAATTTGAATCTTAAGCATCATTACGATATGACATATTTTCATCTGTAACGAGCTTACCTCTATAAAAATATTGAACCACTTCACCTACGATACCGTTAACTTCTATAATCAGTTCACCCCTGTATAATTTCAAATACGTCTGTTTGTATGTTTGCATGCTTTTTGTTCTATAGCCTTCTGATATGATACTTACCTAAGTTTTTTCGTAAAAATTCGTTATGCGTTCCGGACTAGCCAAATACCTTGATATTATAAAAATAAACCTCTTAACTAATTTGGGTTGCTACCGAGCCCCGGACACCGATTTCTTGTGTCACCTAACTTATATAAGGCACAGTACAAGACATAACTTGAAGTATAATGTGTGTACAAACAAAAACTCGGTATTTGTAGTTATAAAATGTATTACTGGGTGTAATCACCCAAAAATAAATAAACTTTTTCGCAGGCCATCTTGACAGATTAATATCGAATCCACTAGAATTTTGAGCGTCATGTCTTATATTTTATTTTAATTTGTTCATGCATAATGAAATGTTGCGAAAAGAGGTTGTATGAAGGACGCGACAATTCGAGTGATTTCGATATTCGAATTGACCATGAGCACGCGTTTGATTGGATCATTAAAATTCAACAATAATGTTAGTGGTGTTTCCATGCTCGGGCATAATGTATTTATTATTACATGTATGTATGTATAAACGGACAGACAGCAATGCACTTCATGCAGAGCACAGCTATGGCAGTTTATAGTTTCTCATAAGGCAGTTGAGAAGTGACATCTGAAAGAAAATAAAAACCAAAAAATAAGAAAGACCTAGCCTACGGCATAAAATGGGCGCTATCAGTGACAAAAGGATAAACAACGACAATTTTTTTTAAACTTTAAATAATCTGTATTAAGTGTGGTGAAGTTTTGTTCCAAGTTGTAAATTTTTGCCTACAATCCTTGTTGCGTTGATTTAAGAGCGTTGTATTACTAATAATCTTATCTATCAGTAAAACAAAAGTGCAGATAAAACGCAATCTAGCCTATCACCAACGCGATGTCCCAAATGAGATTGAGGGCAAGTTTCAGCATCATTACGGATTAAACTATGAAAACATTCAACATCTATACTAACGAACACTGATACGATACTAATTAAAAGGGGTATAACACACAAAATACTGTTAGCGTCGCGATCAGCGACCAACCGAAAGTTTGATCGTTAAAATAGATCGTATTTCCATTGCACTAGAGATCAAAATCTACTATAGTATATGTAACCATCTTCGATAACCGGTTTACCAGGACATTTCGCTATTAAGCCTTTGACTGCCGTCAGAAGACTGCTGAAGGCAAATCCTCCGCTAACGTAGGTCACCGGTGACCTACGTGGCGGTTAACGTGTTAAGGATACATATTGGACATTAGTTCCATATCAAAGGTGGCTGATTGCTATCAACATATTATAATAAAGGAAGTTCTCAATTTAACCGTCTTTTTTATTCAATAGGCAAAAAACATCGCTGATACACGACACTAACAACATTCAATATGCAATCCTATCAAAAAAACGACTAGGTAGGTAAGTAAATAATAAAATGCAAATGAAAATGGCGACCAGGCAGCGTATGAGCATGCGCTAAGTATACAAGATGGCGGCGAGACTCACCCGAGCTGTACTGCGTGTACTGCTGGTACTGAGGGTGGAAGTTGTGGAACGCGTCCGTCATTATGTCCTTGGGATTCATTGTCTCCTGGAAATTTTAAGGTGATGCGTTAATTACTAGTTTAGGAGTTTGGTTTGTAAGTGTTGGACTAACAACTATGAAAGTTTTATTACATTTCTTTCAAACGAAAGTACAGTCAGACTCATCGGGAGCCTCGATGACCAATTTCTTTTTATAATTGCAAATTAATAAAGTTCATGTGACATCTTATATAAATTGGCTTTTTTACAATAAACTCTACAGAATTATAAATATGATTGTTAGCAATTTAAAATTCTAAGTAACTTTATAATAAAACATTACCTTGAGGCTACTAGAGATGGACTGCATAGTGACGGAGCGGTGTGGGTCTCGGTGCGCATGCGCATACACGGCGGCGGGGAAGGCGTAGCGCAGTGCTATAGCGGCCGCCAACATCTCCAGGCAGATCAGGAAGTTCTGGTACCCGGCAGACACTGTACCCGCCGTCGTTGGGACACCATTCGCGTCGTGGATCGGAGATATCACTTCAGCCTTCTCGAGAATGGCTAGGGCTACACCTGGAGTAAAGATAGGGTTTGTAGATGAGATTCAAATTGTAGATGCACTGAGCGCTGTTGTTGTTCACAGTTGGACACTGTTGGAGTTATAGAGGTCTCACCAACAGCGCGTTACTGTGCTTGATCTTCAGCTCTTCATATCCAATCACTACTAGACAACTTATATACGTGTATTGTCATTCTATTACATTGTTACCACATATTTATTATGTTCCTTCTAGCTACACTTAATAATACCTTAAGATAAAACACCTAACATTTACACTTACCTTGCCAGAACGAGAGGAAAATAACGGATTTGACGGTGAAGAACTTGAGTACCGGGTCGAAGGGTTTGAGCATCTCCCTGGTGGCCCCGAGGAAGAGGAACAGGCCGTAGAGCGCCAAGCTGACGGAGAAGTTGTAGACGATGGTGATGTAGATGTAGCCGCCGTCGGGGCTCCAGTCACCGTCGTGGTACAGACCTCGGGCCTGGAGACAGGGGTGTAAAGATTAGTGTTTTCTTATTTATACGAGGATCAGATTATTAAATTAATATAGCGAATATAAAGGTTTATATTCATGAATACAATTATTAATTACAATGTGTTTTCTGAGGCCTTAGTAGGAGTTTGTTTTAATCGAAACGAGACCGCGTTCCGCGCTCTGATTGGTATATTGGAGCCGACCAATGAGAGCGCCGAACGCGTACTTGTTTAGATTACTTTAAAACTAAAACAAACTCGTATTAAGCCGGAAGACGGACGATGGTACTTATTCTTAAGTATCGTTATCCACAACTCTATCAAGAGTGCACCCTAAGTATCATTATAAATTGTTACTAAGTTTCGTGATTGAATAAATTAATCCTCCAAGATATTTGTAAAAATATCTAAATTCCGTCACTTTTACTAAACTTGACAATGAAACTAACCCTTAACCCATATAGACCTACTGTACCACATGTGGTACAGTAAGTTTATAAAAATATTTTGGCCTACCCACTAATTAATATTTTATTCTTTTAATTGTAACAATTAGTTCAGAGTGTTAGCTTTCCATTTACAATAATACAACAGTATTTTTATGCAAATTTCGTTGAAAATTTTATCGAAGACACCCAGCTAGGACTACAGGAAATATATACAATGACTTCGAAAAGGTAAGTTCCATATTATTTATTGTAAATAATATTATTTTTCGTTACTATTTTGCAGAGTAGGTCTAAAGAAATATTATACATGTAAACAATTTTCGGTAAGGTTAGTTTAGTAAGATATATTTGGTCGTAAAGAAGGTGTACCGCATATGGTACAGTAGGTTTATGTAACATCAACATCTTCTTGTACCTACTATCTAGTATACTAATAGATAACTATATCTAAACCTGATTTTATTTTATTTTTATTTCAGACCACTGACACTGCACGAAATTGCAATAGTTCTTGAAGAAGATGATGATATGAGTAATCAGGGAAGAGATATTTTTTTACTACCAGCACTATACTGACAGTATCCCTGCCCATGAGGATCGAACTGATGAAGACTCGTGTGGAAGATAACATCGATATAAATAATTTGCCTGTTGAGACACATAGAAGAAAAAAAAGGAAAGAGGCTTCTACGATTATCGCGTCTCTGATGATGTAATAATTTGTAGGTGGTACGATAATAGCATGGTTTCAGTGTGTTCCAATGCAGTTGGCATAAATCCTGTACACAAAACTGAATGCTATTCGCAGGAACAAAAAAATAAAATATCTGTACCTTAGCCCGGAATGTTTTAATATGTATCACACAAAAAAATAAATAAATTCGCTAATTGGAAAATGTTGTATATTTGTATGCATATAGTCCTACTGTACCCGATACGGTACACCCCCCCTACGTCTCCCCAGTAATTGTATATTTTTTTTAATATTTTTTTATTGTTGTTTGTACCCCTCTTAATGAATATAAGTTAAAATAACTAAAATTTTTCACGAAAATAATTATCGGTCTAAATGGGTTAATTTGAATGATAAACGTTGTTAAACCTATATGAGAGAAACCAAATATTTCATTATGAATCACACAAAACGAAAAATATATGAGTAATCTTATGAAATAGCTGATAAAAGCAAAGAAATGATTCAAACGTTAAATCAATTAGGCACGTGTGAACTTCGCCTTATCTATTCGATTGATAGACAAATGTCAATTACAATATAGGTACTGACTTATAACTTACGACCCAACAATATTTATGTGTATTTGTTTAATAACTAATTGTGTACAGCAATATATTGTATTGTAGTTTTTATACTTATATATTAGACATGGAATTTATATTTATGCCATGTTAAATGATAGAAAAATTAGGAGATGTTATGTTAAGCACCAGTGTCGTCAAAACCCTACCTGGGTTTTGACTACACATAAAAGTGTATTTTTTATTTATAATAAATAATCTAATCTTACTGTGCAACTCTCAATCGTGGACATATTTAAAATATTACTTTCCCTAAATGTAGAATCGTTAAGTCTTAATTTCTTTTGCACAAGTGCTTAACATAACATAACATCACGCCTTTTTTAACCCCGAAGGGAGGCAGAGGTGCAATTTACGGTACTTAATGCCACTGTACAATTATGTAACACCCACTTTTCACTATTTATGTTATGAGTCCCATGTAATAGGGGGTGAGCTTATTGCCATATGGCACATTTCCGGGCTCCGTGCTACTATCGATATTTTAAAAAACCCAGTAATACTTTGCCCGACCCGGGAATCGAACCCAAGACCCCTTGCCCGGCAGTCGCACTTGCGACCACTCGGCCAACGAGGCAGTCTTTTTTTAGAATTGGGAAAATATGCAGAAACTTTAAGCTCAAAGCGCATTAGGGTCATTCACTAGATTAAGCTAATATTAACCTTAATATCAATAATCGATATTCTTAAAACACATTATCGTGTGCCACGCGTTCTAATTAGATTGTTCTTTACGATTTCCTTATAATTAACCTCTAACTTGCGTATCAATGGGAAAATTCATGTTTATATTAATCAGATACTATGAATATATTATTTTCCTGTACTTATTTACTATATATTTTGCAAGATAAAGTAAGGAAAAAATAGCAAATGTAACTGTTATCGTAACACTAAAAATAACTTATCTGTAATTTAAAGTTATTTACAGAACAGTGCTCCTTGATCAATATGAACATTTCAAATTACGATATATAAGTAGCCCATCATACAAGGCTCATAGTCCAGGAGTGGACTGTCACTAGCTGTTGAGTAAATAGATGTAATTGGGTACTTGCCAACTAGTCAAATTCAATACTTTTTTCGAACTGTTAAAAACGACAGTTTTCTATGAATTTTGTACGACATCCTATATTGTGACGTCACGTTTTTTAGCGCCAACCAGCATACTTATTTCTTATAAACCTGCTGGTAAAATACTGCTGGTAAAGTATTAAGTAAGTCACAAAACCAATTAATGAAAGTGTGATTATGTTTGAATATTTTATTGTATTGAACAGTCGAAATAATTTATTTTTTAATTAAGTAAAACACCCAATTAGTGTTCATTGCAAAGGACAGTAAATAAACCTTCTCTTTACTATTTTTGTTGGTTATGTATGTTTCCACGCGTGCTACTTCATCTTACTATCATACTAATATAATAAATACGAAAGTTTGTAAGTATGTCTGTGAGTCAATTACGCCAAAATGGCTGAAGGGATCGAGATCAAATTTTGAACAGGGGTATACAGTTATGCCCATAATCTTGAAGGATGCATGTTTTGTTTAGACGTGTAAATTAAGATATATTTTTTACTAACACAGAGGTCTGAGAACGCATGTTCAGTTAGATATCTAGAGTCATTCTTTTTACTAGCACAGATTAAACAGTGAAAAACTAGTGCTGCTTATCAATCTGCCGTTATGTGTACAATTAATAAGGATATAGTTCACGTACCTGTAGGAATATGATAATGAAGGCGCAGACGGGCTTAATGAGACAGAACTGGAGTGTGGCCTGTTTGCAGAAGCGGAGGAAGCCGATGGTGTAAGTGGCGCCACTGAGACAGCAGGTCCCGTTGACGCAGGACGCGCGCACCGGCCGCCCGCGCAACTCCGACATTATATTGCCTTCCCCGCCTAGGTACTCGTAGCATAGCGACAGGAAACTGTAGATCACGAATGCTGTAACAAGAAATATAAATAATTAGTATTTTGCCAAAGTTGCAAAAGATAATAGTTATCAGAGTATAAATGTAAAAAGATATTCACATAATACATCAGACTTAATTCAAGATGCGTAAGACAACGGCCTAATAGAACCAATATCTAACAAAAAAAAACATTAATTAACCCAAAACAACATGGCATTACATCATCTTCCTTGTTGTTATCATCTACCTACATAGGGAACTGTCCCAATTTGAAAATAGACAAACATAAACCATTTCTAAATTGGTTGTATCTGGTGCGGGTACTAATAAATGACCCATTTTCGTAAAGTGACTGAAGTCTTTGATTCAGCTTAGTAAGTACCTTTCAACAAGGCGTACTGCGAAGTTTCAGTGTTTTAAAAATAGTCCTGTTGATATTATTAAATGCGAAAGTTTGTGAGGACGCATAGATTATTTTTTGTTTCTTATTCACGTATTAACTACTGGAACGTCGTGAAAACGTCAAGCCGATGAGAAAAGATAGATATTAGTTTAGGTTATTGAAAATATTATGTAATTGTAGTGAAACTAATTAGTGCATTTGTTCTTTTGGTCTCTTAAATATGACGTCTACACGTCTACTTTTTCTGAAGACCGAAAATATACCTTCACAAGGCATTTATTAAATTGTTTACCATAATCATGCTTAAATCTACTGAACTTGATCGTCTAATACACAGCTTACTTATTTCGCTTTAAAACGGTTACAAAATCTGAAAGACATAAAACATATTTTTGCAATAGACAAGTTAATAAATGAGCGTCTTCAATAAAGCTAAATGATAGAAGTCAGTTTTTGTACAGTTAGCCGTGACCCTAATTTTAAAATCACGAATACAACGAATCATGTATGTATGAATGTAAATTTATAAATACATATAACAATTCAATACTTCTGTAATGTTATTTTTGAAGACGAATGTACCTACCTATGGATAGACTAAAGAAATAGACTGATACTGAACTGATAGGAATAAATAAGATTTGTATCATATCTTAAGACATAATATCTCAATAATTATGCATGTTATAAACATCGATTAACCTTGATATAAGATTAGGTTTCATTTTACAGATTTAGGGAAATCACAGCAATAATAGAAGAGTCTGGACACCAGTTTGATTAATGACAATCACCACAGATTATTAAGTAACTAAACTTGTATTGTGAATCTGATACCTATGGAGTTTTTCGCTCGTTCTCCTCCATAGGAATCTACACCTTGGAATGAGCAAAAGTGCACTTTTTCACTTTTCGTTGACATTCAAAGTACCTAATCGAATTAGTTCTAATCGAAATCGACTAAAAGAAAAAGTTCTAATCGAATTAAATGATTTTAATGTTTTTTTTACTATGATTTGCCTTCGATTACATACCTATACACATTCACATATATTGGTACTTTATATTTACTTCTCATTGTAGGTACACTTTCGAAAAAACACAAAAGCCAGAATAACCCGTTTAAAGATTTCGCCTTCATTTACCGATTACAATGCCAATAACCATATACAGCTCAATTTGGAGCTTGTCAACCGCCTCAATTCCAACAAATAATCGAATGATCCACATCGATAACGCAATCGATATTTCGATGTATTGAGTACAAATCGATTATATCTTAATTGGTTGACGCACTCCAGATGGCAGATGGAATCTAAACACGGTTAATTACAAACCATGCAACCATGTAAAAAGTGTTAAATATAGTCTTGTGCAATCGCCGCATCCAAAGATGGTGCCTACTAATATTATACAGTATGTGAAAGTTTGGGTGTTTATTAGTCATCGACGCAAAAATGGCTGTGCGAATTTGGGCGTAATTTTGCATACAAATAAGGCTTATTTTATGTCTAAAATAAGCCTTATTTACTAAGGACACCTATCCGCTGACGGAACTCCTATCGAAATTCTTTATACATCTTCTATTTTGCTGGCTGTAGTTAAAAATCTTGTTAGTCGTTAGTTTCTGGAGCAAGTGGTCAATTTATTTATTCAAACACATGATACGTTGACCGTTATTTAGTAGCTGCAGTTATCTAATTTATTTGCATAGTCTGCTGGCATACTTGTATCTACTTTGTGAAGGATATCCCACACACGCATGCTAACACAGTTAATATTGTACCTAATGATAAACAGGATAAGATCTTTTTATTAATTATGTCATCACGTTCGGTATCAAACTACCTATTTGCTGAAGTCGGTCGAAAGTGTAGCGAAGTAATTGTATGAGTTAAATATTGAAGTTATAAATAACTAATAGAACTATTACAGTTACGATATTATTTGTTTCTATACGTACTGATAAAGAAATTAATAAAGCCAATAAAAACACCTGTGTACCTAACTACGTATATTGCTAAATTGGTGTGTATGATATTTGTATTGTACACGTTCATTTCAGCATTACACTCATAAATACATATACATATATATACATACGCAACGCCGAGTCATTGTGTACGGAAAGAAAATATGGAAATTCTAGATAAAAAAAACGAACAGCACAGTATTTTTTAACTTTAAAATATTTGTGGTCAGACAATAAAATATTTTTCGTTTCCATAAATTAGCTTATAATGTTTATTATTTGAATAACAAAACAGTAATTCAAACTGCCAATGTTCAAAACTCTAATAGACTAGATTCTGCTTGTGGGTAGGATAAGGACAGCTTTTTATATTTGATGGGTCGACGTTTGACCACTATCTCGCCTGGTGGTAAGAGATGATGCGATCTACAATGGAGCACGTCTTCCCATAAGAAGCAACCTATTCACTCGGGCCTTGAATACACCCAGGTTATACCCTTCAGGAAGTACAGACTCTGGCAAAGAATTCTACTCCTTAGCAGTACGCACACGACACTCCTTAAAAACTCCTTGTTAAAACGGTCGAGTCAAAATTAGATGCATAAATCGCGCACAAGAAAATGTACGTGAAAGTAATGCTTTATTTTCTTTTACGCTCAATAAAACTAATTATAATTACAAGGTTTATGATGAAAAAACTATCGACCAAGTACAGAGGCCTTAGCACGGGTTTGTTTCAATCAGAGCGCCGAACGCGTACTCGTTACGATTACTTTAAGCGTAAAATAAACTCGTACTAAGGCCTCAGAACACAGTGCAGTCTTCAGTTAAAATTCTAACCTCGTCAACTGTTGTATAAAGTTTCCTCATAGACTTAGACGTGTTCAATCTACCAGCATTATCAACTCAAGGCAATGAACAGTAGAACATAATTATATTAAAGGACAAGTAAATAAACAGTAACACTTGGACAGCAATTCAAACTTAGCTACCTTATTTGAGTTTTGTAGGAAGGGCATATTTTTTGGCGTCAAATAGAGGGTTGAATTCGTTATCATATGTATGGGAATAATTGCAATGTCTATGTGAAATTGTATGTTTGTAAACACACCCACGACACGACAGGAGAAAGTCCTAGTGGGACAATATTAAAAAAAAAATATTCACTCGACTAAATCATAATTTTTTTCAGAAGCTATTTTCTTATACCTCCTACAGATAAAAGTATGCAAGGTGAAAAATATGTTTTTGTGTATGTGTGGGTGAGGCCTATGTTCAGCAATGGATGTCCTTTAGCTGATATGATAATCATCAACAGCCTATAAATGCCCACTGCTGAGCAAAGGCCTCTTCTCACACTCTCTTCTTGATATGGTAATGAAGGTGAAAAATTGGTACCTACACCGCCACGTAGGTCACTAGTGACTACGTTAGAGGACGAGGCTTTCAACAGAAACTTTTCGAACAGTTTTTGCGTTGCATTAAGATGTTAATAGAAGTGGAGCTTGAAACAATAGTTAAGTAAACTCACCTTCATAACAATCCCGTACGGTGAAGAAGTATACATAGTAGGAGTTTCCATTGAAGAACAGCAGTGAGATCCAGCTGTAGCACCCGTATATTGGTACGATGAACAGGATGCGCACTATCCAGCGCTGCTCCGAGGGATTCGTGTACCAGCGGAGGTGTTGGTAAATCTGGAACATAAGATAATAAGGTATTTAAGTATATGTTTAATTACTTAATTCGATTTCAGTTTTCGGATGCTTTTCAGCAGTGGAAAAAATAAGTTCAATGTTGGAAAATGTCGTTGGATAAGTATATTTTCTTAGGCGAGTCATAACGTTGAAGTTACGTTTAGTATAACATGCACCTCTGTCTACCTCTTGAAGGATCTTGAACGATTAAGGCGTACATGTATTTTTGTGCTCACCACAAACATGTGGAGTTGGAGACTGTCAATATTAAAGCTTCAATTATTATCTCAACGTATAAAAGAATAAATGTAGTAGAGATTCCAATAACAAAGAAGCAGATGTTTCAATACATCTAGAAGAGGACTGTAATAAGCACAAAATTACATCATCTATTAGGTATACCGAAGTAATAAGCAGAAGTGTATTAACACACCCACTTATGGCTAATTATAATTATCTTATGAGCCTTATTACACTCATGTAATCGTACTGAGTCTATGTATCAAACCGGAAAAGGAATTCATGTTCAGCAGTTACTATATATTATGATTAAACTATGTTAAAGGTACCTTTGTAAATTGATATTTATTTCTTGAACATATGAAAAATGCCGGGAAGTTTGTACGTTCTCAGGGGAGCATTTTTATGCTTTATAACATCTTTTATTTATTTACTTATATTTGATATATTATTGTAGTTACCATGACGTTACAATAAATCTATGTTTAAACAACTTTGTTGTTTGCCCAACTGGTTCAAAATACGCGTGTAAAGGTATTGTTTTAAAACAATTCTACCTGATGAATATGACGTTGTTTTTGGCGCCAGAATTCTTTGTTCTTTTTTTTTATTAAAGTGCGAAAAAGGTTGAATTGAATCTGGCCTTATACATTCGAAAACCAAATTATTATTAAAATAAAATGTACCTGCACATGTAATGTTCCTGTGTGCATATATTTCCACATACTTTGTTTTCAATTTGTTCTGTTTTCCTTGTGTTAGTCGCAATAATTTATTATTACTAACCGACTTCATTTTAATTCCGACAAATAGGTAATATTTATACGATTATTTAAGTAAGTAAACATACCAACAAATATGCACTGTTATTTAAAAACTGGTTTGATTCAGTCTGATATTGCATCCATATTTTATATTGAACAATACTTAATACTACATAATTTATTATTTCAAAACATAAGAACCTAAATTGGATCAGAGTTCTGTTTCTGTCACGGTACATAAAATTGGTTGGTCAACTATACAGTCTGTTTTTATATTCGTGCAATTGAAAGTTGGTTGATTCGTGACGAATATAAAATTACTATCGAGTATCCAAAAACCCTTAGATATGTAGACACGATAACAAACCTTAATTGATTACACACTGAATTCATTTTTCCTATGACCCTTACAAAGTACAAATTTTGGGCATACTGTGTTAATATGAGCATTAAAAGAATTTGTTCAGCTTGTTACAATTCGAATCAAAATGAAATTATTACTCACAATAAACTACCATTTAAGTTAAATGACGTCAGTATGAGGTAATCAGGTAAGATAGTAAAATACACGCATTCACAAAGATCACTGCTACGCTCTCTTCGTTATCGTTAAAATCATTCATATAACGTTTATTAATTGACCAACAGTAACGGTTATAACTTAATGGTATAAAATAACGTTTCTTGTATTTATTAGCGTTGTGCTCTATACTTTTATCTTCGAAATAGACAGCGACCTGCCCATTATTATGAATTTATAGAGACGCGGACGGGTGTGACGCGAAATGTGTATCATTATTCTAGGTTGTATACTATATTAGGTACAGTTAGGTATAATACAGTTCAATAAACATGGCAAGGAATCTTCAATGCTAGGTACAGTTATATTGAGTTCAGGAATGACGTCAGAGTGTGAGAACATACTTGGTGGTCACCTCGAAGCTATGAAAAGAATACAGCTATATGATACTTCATTATTTTGTTACTAAATCGTACTTTAGAGGCCGTTTCAAAAAATAATAGTAGTTAAAACCTCATTTTGATAACCTAGCAAGATAACCGGTAGAAAGCAAGTACCACTCATTGGCTAATCTGCGGAATTACGGATTGTACAAAGAAGTTAATTAAAAGAAACTGCCTCCGCTCAATCGTACTTAGAACAACAAATTACGTTTTATAATTTTACATTCTCTGCAATGTTAGCAAAAGCGTCTTCATTTATTATATCTTTGTCTCAGCTCGGCTCATCTTAGTAAATCGTGATTTCCGTCAAGCGAAAAGATTGTACCGCAGATCTGATTTATTTAGGCACGTAATAACGATAAAGAACAAAGGTCTTCGTCCTACGTGCCCAGTCTGATCCCGTGTTACCGCTCCATCATCGCACATTCAAACTTAATTCCCACATAAAAATGTACTATGTACTCTTGTAATTCGTTTAAAGGCTGTTCAACTACATTTTTGTAACAGTAAAGTACGTACATTTCCTGTCCCGCTGGGAAAACGCAAGGTCAAAAAACCGAATACATCATGGCGCGAACTTCGCAGTACTCTCTAGTGGCTGAAAAGTCATTATTCATACCCAAGCCATAATAACTTGTTATCAGTGAACAAATACAGAACGGAATATAGCCCATAACTAGGTGCGATAACAAATACTCTGATAGTGCTACAAAAGAATTGGCTAATGCCGTAGTTTTACTTCGACGAGTGCGACGCTCTAGAACCCTTATCAGGTGTTGAATGTGGAAACTATTTTCTTGTATGAATATTACATCTATCTGATAAAACAAATCAGCAACAATAGATACAATATCAATACAAAGCTTTATACAATACATATTTGTATTTAATGAATCTGTGAGAAAACATGTCACTCAACGTAGGAAAATAATTTGTATGATTTCCACGATACTACCAAATGTGTCAAATTGCTCAATCCTTGTACTTATTAAACAAACAAATTGAGTTATAATGTCCAAACGAAGCCCCACATGTTTAGAATTTCTTAAAACATATCTTAACACAAAAAATAACCTTGGCCTTCATTTAGATTAAAAGCGAAAACTGTTTTACTAGAGTGTTCTTCTATGGCCGACGACGGTATTAAATCTCGGTAGGGAAATATACGGGTAGGGAAAATCAGCCTTACTTCTAAGAAATAAAGGTGATGCTAACATCAAATAATATCAGGTAGCTCCCCTTTTTCATTAGTGTGTAAAGTTTGCGTTCCTCTCTAAACGGGGCTAACCCTCTTACCGCATATCCACTATAATCTGTACCCTGTAGGTATATGTTTGAGATAGAGGTGTGTGCGGTCATATTACACAGGTGACAAGGCGCCCACGTGTATGAAAACAATTTATTATTGGGCTGGCAACGAAAATGTATCCATAGAGAAGTAAAATCTCTTTTTTTTCTGGTAGACCTTTTTTAAATACCATCTGTTTCTTTCATTCAGCTGAAAGTCCGCGAATTACAAAAAAGGGTTACAGGGACTTCTTGGTTAAATTAAACCTTGGAAAATTTTTTTGCTGGTCGCTTACTATAAGCTGTTCGAAGACTATAAGTATGTGGACTTCTTGAAATGGCCACATCTTTCAATAAATTACAACATAGCGCAAACGGAACAAGGTGACTGCATAAATACTTAAATTCTTATAAATATCAGTCATCATTGAAACAGTGACTAAATACGGAAACCAGACGTCATCTGTCAGCAAAAATAAATCCATCTACTGAATAATCTATTATTATAACTGGACGCTATTAACATTTAGACTAAACATCCGAGACATTCTAGAATTTTCGATACAGACAACGGATAAGACTGTTGAAATAACAAACATGTTTTGAGTCAAAGATGAGGCTGTATCAGATTAAGATCATATTCAAATGAATAGTGACAAGCATAGTTAATTGACAGGTTTTACACAACATGAACCTCATTTTTATGAAGTCTACTAAAATGGTATTTCTATAAGCTTCTTTCAAACCCTCATCACACGTACAAACATGCCTACATAATTTTCACTATCGATTTTTTATGATAAACGCCATGCGGGCAGACATAAGCACTAGGTGCTTCAGTGCTTCAAATTGTACCTTATTATGGCACATTTGTTGTTGCCGTTAGCCAAATTCCTTGAAACACACTGCCTCGTGAACTATCGTTATGAAGGCATTGTGTCATCGTGTTTTCTCAACAAGTGGAACTTTATAGACAACAAATACTCCAACGTAGACCAAACTTATGTAGAGTAACCATAGTTATGTTTTCTGAATACGTAAACCGAGAAACAGACTCAGATTGTCCTTCATTTCCTCAACATACTAAAAGTTAAAGGAGATAATAATTCTACATCTTTCGTGCTACTAAGTGTCTAATCAATACCAATTTGATATTGGTTTATCATATCTGAATCATAGTCTTCTACGTAAAAAGTATAAGGCGAAAAAACTGGCATGCGCATATTACTAATACGTTTTTAGTCGGTCATAATATGCTTATCGTAATTGGAATTCACGCGACAAGACCACTTATAGTAACGACACAGCTGATGATAGTGATGATAATTTTTTACAGGCATGTGAAAACTTGACAAGGCGCATCGTTAAGTATATCGAATAAGTACCTGATATCGCAAACTGCATTTTGTGTCCAGTATCGATTATTCGATTGGTCACATTGTGACACATACGAGTTTTTGCTATAGGTTTATTGCATCATAAACACCAAAGAATTTTGCTTTGATTAATTTATTAGGAGATAATATGTATATCTCCATGCATATACCCGTCATGTGATGGGTATAGAGGTGCCTAGCACATCAAAAGTAAGCTAATTTTCTCAATAGACTTTCGAAAGAAATTAGCTAACCGAAACTGGTGTTAGTACCTACCAAATTAATAAAATGCCAAACATTGTTTTACGGCTGGCCTTCGATGTTAAAGTTAATTAAAATCACCATTATTTTCCTTTAAGGTTGTATTCTTTTGTGCCTAATTTCAAAGACTTTGATCCTGAATACGGGTCCATAATTGGTTTCACAAAAAAGTAGCTTTAAATAATATTCTTAAGATTGGATAATAAGAGGACAGAATGTCTTGGTGTTTCGTATTTTACTCCGATTACATTAAATTATGTTTAACTATTATATACTTAAAGCTGAAGAGTTTGGGTGTTTGAATGCGTTAATCTCCTGAACTACTGGTTTGAATTCAATAATTATTTTTGTGTTGGATAGTCCATTTATCGAGAAATATGACGCTATAATCAATAGGACTTGAGCAGACCGGGTGGGGTGCAACCACTCGGGAATCGCTAATTATGACTAATTTGTGTTGCCCATCTTTTCCCACCAAAACTATATTTCTAAGACTAACATCGTTTTGCTTAACGAACCTCTTCGTTTACAACAAAACGTAAAACAATGGCGTCGGTTTATCTAAACAGATCTCCCACATAGGAGCCACAACGTGTTCATAATAACTACGGCCTTGGAATATCCCTGATCTACTTAATAGCGTTTGTTGATACGATTATATTACATCTGAGGATACACAAACATATCCCCTTTCCACGTCACATCCATACAACTTAGATATTTAGTCACCATGTATTGTTCAATTTTTTTTACCCAAAAGGAGATTTTGCTGATGGCCTCTACAAATTAAAATGAATGTGATCGCATAATAACACGTTAACTTGTATAATATCGTCATTAAACATGATAGAAATACATAATTCTTACTAGTTTCACACTTTCTACACTCGAATGGGAGCTTATGTGAGTTATTAGGTCATGTATTACCATAAATATCAAAAATTTGCATTACTTTAAAATGCACGGTCATATTTACGGTAAAAACTAATATTCAAGGTAAGTGTTATATTTGAAAAGAGAAGATCCCCTAATTTAAAAAAAGGTTCCTCAACAGCACTATATGCTCAATAATTTTAGCGTTCTATTAGTCCCTCTAATTTTTCCGAATCATGCGATGCGGTGCAGTAATTATATTTTTTCCACTAAGGGAACTCCTTATTATGAAAAAAAAATGGCAGTAACACACCTTGTGATGGCAAGGGAGCGATACAATTTAATATAACATTATTGATTTTATACGCAACTAGCTGTCGGCATCGCCCTGCCCACGCTCGAAGGCTTCACTGAGTCTTGTTGTCTTCACCCGCAAAATACATTTATGGAAATTGTGTGTACTTAACCGAAGCATTCGATAAAATATTCAATCATGTAAAGTTCATAATAAAACTTGATTAAAGTCCATTCAACGTCGCCGTTACGTTTTAACCTTTTATTATTTGACAGCGATTGCAAACGAATTGGAGCTCAAAGGTGTGCATGATATATCAGGAAAATTGATTTGTACAGCGGCGCTGTAACTGCGTGTCTAGGACGCAGGTGCGTCATCTTGCTTGACGCAATTTTCGCAGCGTAAACAATCTACAGACATCAAACGATATCCAATTCTGACGTCACCCACACATCCGAGGGTCCGCTGCCGTTGTGTTCTCTTAACATTGCACATATACTTAGAAATCTAATTAGCTAATGGAGCATCACATCACATCGTAAACATTACAAACGAAGGTAATTATCTGAACTAATTGCTTCCTGCTTTCGATGAAATTCGTTTGATACATATCCCGGAATACTAACATTCCACAAGCATTTTTACATAAAAATTGCCAGTTGTCAGTGTCGCAGAACAATTAATTTCAATAAAAACGATTTACGAGTAATTGATTGTGAATTTCCAATGACAATAGTAAACAATCCGTCTTCATAAGTAAGGCTTATTCTCAGTTCTATTCATTTCGAATTGAAACTTTTTGCTAAAGTACTTTAAAAAAAAGTGACGTAAGCCCACCTGTGGCGACACAGACAGTCTTAACAAAGACACCTTGTCTTTTGTATTGTTGTTGAGACAAAGATACGAAAGTTACAAGTTTGCGTTTTTGTAGAATACGGTGTGCAGTTTGTAGATGGTTTACGCGGAAAGGAAAGTAGTTAATCTACGCAAGATCCTGTTATGAGATATTACTAAGCAATTGGAAGGTGTTTTACCTGTTGGCAAGTAATGAATAGTGCGGCAAATACGAAGATGCCGGCGATACCCTGTGCGCCAGGGGTTTGGAGGAACATGCCCTTATCGTGGGGTACTTCCTTGATTACGTCCGATATTGGTTGAGCCGTTACGTTGATGGTCTCCGTCGAGCTCATTCTGTAACAAAACAAAGAAAATTTAATCTAATACATCCTCTTCTAACTGTATTTGTTATTGATAGTATCTACTTTCTATAACAATTATTTCCTTATAGTTATTCACTAGTAAGACCAACTATTGATCTCGCTTTCTGCTTTATTTAAAACGATGCAGTTCATGATTTCTCACATTAACTAGGTAAGTAGTTGACTCACTACTACAGTTATGAGGCAATTTACGCACAAACAACATTTTATTGCAATTATCGCCCTCAATAAAGGTAACTCTAGTTTCATTGAGATGAATAACAAAGATGGACTGTATGGTCCTCAGATTAAAGACTTTAAATGTAAGAAAATCTTTAGTGAAACGCACAAAGTAGCATCTTATTAAGTTTAAAACGGAAACGGAACGGTTTCTTTTAAATGAACATTCAGCGGCAGAAGTGAGTCATTTCAAGTTATTTTTCCAACATTACTCTACCGCTGGCTATTCTGGGTTTTTAACAAATGCAAAATAAATTAATGGCGTTCCAACACAAATATACATACTACCTTCACGATTCCTACGTTTGTTTCGGCTCGTACCGTATCAGAAAATACGGAAAACAAAATTTTAATACTTCTTCAAGCAAATTCAAAACAATGATACAATCAATGTTATTTACATTCTTTTTCCATTAAAAACAAACAACTTGATAGTCATCTAGTCAAAATATGATGCTATCTATTGTTTCAGCATATAACATTGTATTGCTCACGCTATTATTCAGTTGTAGGCCTGGCAGCGAGGCCTATTCTATAACAATGCAATATCAAAACAATAAAATTGAATCCCAGAGGCGCTCGACTAATCAAATGAATCTGGCTTTGACCACTACATGCGGTACATAATGTAACTACTAGTCATACATAAATTAAAATAAGGTCATCCGTAGTTATACAGAATGATCAAAGGTTAAATTTCGCCTCCGTGCCGTTATGCGAATGCCAAAAATGGTTCTAGTTCCGAGTAAACTACATCATATTGTTATCTAGTGAGGTTTTTTTACAAGTTTGTATTTAAATTGTACAGATATGAGGTATTGCTAGATTGAACATGATAATGTAACTGTTATTTGATCGTTTTTTTATACTTTTGTAGGCAAACGGATAAACCGATGGTAAGTGATCGACCAACCGATGGTAAAACGGAGCCTGTTACGATCCACTTAAAACATGTCCGCTTCTGTGTGATATTAAGTAAATCATTTAATTTTAGCAATAGTTAATTGCACGCCCACAGTGCAATGGAGGTGGGAATTAAGGTTGAAAATACACTAGAATCAGAGTATGGATATATTATACCTTTTTATAACTAGGAAAAGATTTTTCGGTCAAGGTGCGGGATGGGGATAATAAAACAGTCAAAACTAGATTCCGACTCCAAGGTTAGCCTAACAATCTGACCTAACCGTGACCTGTGAATATGAGGTTTTACGGAGATATGAGCACGTCCTAGGGCCCAAAATAGGTACTATGGAGGCTTATACTGTATATCTAGATTTAGCAGGATGAAATGACACACCATGAGACACCCACCTAAGTGTCTATCTAAGCTATAAACAATAAGCAGATATTGAATCAGATAATGTAGTGGCTTATTGTTGTGTACAACAGATTGCCGCGTAGCAGAAAGAGAGAAAAAAAACTATACTGTATATAGGTACTCTAAACACTTGCCTGCCTAGATTCTATACAGGTAGGTCTCTACTCAAAGGAGGATATTATCGCCCGTGGTTCTAATGAGCCACGTCTAGTTCAGGATTTAGTTTTAAAATATCTCATCAGTACCTAGTTAAATGACAGTACATTTTATTATTGAGGCAGGATATTGTAACTTGATAGTTACTTACTCCTTTGTCTTGAGGTCTGTACATTATACGATACAAGCGAGGACTAGGAAGTCTCTATTTTATACACCATCTGACTGAAAAAGTGCTCATAGGTTTCCCAATCTAGTATAGAATTTTGGAAATACGAAAGAAGGAAAGGTATGTCTAAACAAGGTAATTGGGTACTTGCTAATTGTCAAAAACAATCCTTTTTTCAAACTGTCAAAAAAGTCAGTTTTCTATGAATTTTATACGAGATTGTGTAACAGCATACATATTACTTAAAAAAATGCTGGAAAAATACTAAAATTAAGTTAGTCATGAAATCAATGAATGAAAGTGTGATTATTATTTTATATTTTATTGTATTAAACATTCAAAATAATTTATTTTTGATTAAGGCAAGCACCCAATTCAAATGACTCCCACAGGGTTCAAGTAAAAAGTTACACTTAGTTATGATTAACTATAGGTGTAACTTTTAATTTATTGTACTACCTATTAACTTCTTAGTGATATTGTCTCATGTCATTGCCCCATACATAAACCATTGTTAACAAGAGAGTAATGTTGGAGTTTCTTCCTTGTTCTTCTCGATTTGAAACGACACTTTGGAACAAACACATAGCTTCCCTAACAATTCAATTTGATGTTTCAAAAGTGCTTAATCAAGGATTAGTTGAAATAAATTCTTTGATTTTGACAAGGTATTTTTTTTTTATTTTTTTTTTTTAAGGGGGGAAAATCATCGAGTGACTGCTCCCGCCTGGGTGAGGCGGGAGGGAGTGTCAGACTCTTACTGACTAAAAACCACCCCGTTCCTCTCCTGCACGTCGAGCCGGAGCCCCGGTTACCCGTTAGGTTCTCCGCGACTCCGATTTGACAAGGTATACTGTCAATATTAATGTTACATACGAAAATTTTAACTTTGAATACCTAAATATAAGTCTTAATATTTCAAATCGAGAGTGGAGAATTAATTAGAGTAATCTTTCTGTTTTCATGGTCTCACAAATAAACCACTAAAATGAATGTTACTACTTTATTTCAAAATGGCTAAATGGATCAGGATGAAATTTGAAACAGGGGTAGATTATAGATTATGGTCTGAATTTAGACATAGGCCTTTTATCCAACGGGAAAGCTAGCAAAGCCACTTTCCAAAGCTAGTTTTTTTAAATAAAATGAATTGATAAATGATTAAATATTAATTCTTTAGCCTTAACATTTATTTTAGTCTCAGCCTTAGTATAATATTGTTGTATCAGATTGAACTGACTCACTGGCCTTGGATCTACAATTTAGTGAGACTGGTTCACTCATTTAAATATATTTTTTATCAAACTTTATTAAGGAATCAATCTGATTGAAACTACCTCTTTCTTGTATAAGAGAATTGAACTGTATTGTCTCTTAGTAACCATATTAACCTGTTGAAATATCATAATCTAAATTTGTTCATACAAAAGTAGTCTCTAAACATTGGATATAAGGTCTATAATCTAGTTAGAGGAGAGCAGGCACCGGTGACTGCTTGAGGATTGAGCAGTTCAGTTCTATTCAATTGTTTTTACTTGATAGTCCTATTAAGACTTGATAGTCTTAATAGGACTTGAATCCTAATTGAATATTATTAGTAAACAATTAGGTTTGTGGTTAGTTCGGAAGATTTTACTAGTATTGTATGAATTGGTAAATAAAGACATTATTAATAACTAATTAATGTATCATTTATTGTACTAGTTTTGTATTCTATAATGAATGGATTATAATATACTTTTAAGTACCTACTTTTGCTACATAAAAATATACCTATTACCTACATAAAACCAACAAACCTCAACAATATTTACCGTGTTTATAAATCTTGTTATGTATTATCTGAATCTTATCATGGTTACTTGTGATAGTATCTAAGAAACATATAAGACAAGAATATAGCAAGAATATCTTTCTCTCTCCCTCTTACAAAATAAACAACTAAATCCTGTTTCATTACCGTTAATAACATTTTTATATTACACGGCAATACTGTTAGCATTTCAAAAGTTCCAGACTTATCTATTAATGAATAATGTTCAATATACATTTGATAAGATAATGGCTGACTAATTGGAATCAGTTATCACAATATTCATGAATACATGTTTAAGAATAGTCTGTGGCCCGGATAGTTATCAGAATTAACATTCGTAACATTATTTTTAAGACAACAAGGTTTAATATAAGATTGACACATTATAACTTTATTTTTCTGAAATTCAGAATGCTGCAGCATATGTTGATTCCTTGCGCTATGTTATATTTTAACCAATTTATGCTGCAACACAAAATTCCTTAAAAATGCATATTTATATTGGGACCAAACCATGTGGAAGATGTTTCCCCTTATCTAATCTAATTTAATCTAATAGTTACTATAAATGTTAAATTTTGTTAGTTTGTGCATATATGTTTATTACTCAATCACTTGATTATTATGGTCTGGAACAACTGGAATCTCAAGGGAATGCTAATGAACCCACTGACAGAAGCCAGTCAAGTTTGAAAGATTTAAAAATGCTAGAGTAATGTTAACTAAAATATACCTACAGTAAAAAAATGGATTCAATTGTGTAATGCTGAATTCAGGTGATTATATGCACAAGAGTCATTTCATGAACCACAACTTGTTAGTACAATAGCATACTTTGATACACACATACACCAGTCCTAGGACCTTAGTAACACACAATTATCTAGGAACCGACTACTAGGGCAATTTTTGAAAATAAATAAGTAGGTACAATAATGATAAGAATGAGGTCATGTTAATAAACAGAATCCTGTTTACAAGCACTGTTAGTCATCAGTGTCTTGTTATTACTTAAAACAATCAGACAAACAAACCTTTGATATTAATTAGTCAAATACTTTATTTCGTTACTAGTCAGATAGTTAAATAAGATGTTTGATTTTAGTTTTGGCTACTCCAATTGTTTTGTAAAACGATTGCTTCATATGAAATAGGTACTATGATTATGTCAGAACACTACAGTTGTAGGAAATAAATTATAAGATAAGCAAATACCTAGGCAGCATGATTTCACAATATTGATCTACAAAATTTTATATTTTTGTAACAAGCCAGATTTTCTAAAAATTCTGTTCCTTTAAACTGTCAAACACCAAGCGACTATTTGCAATAGAATTTTAAACCATTCGTATGAATTACTAGAACCTCTAAGGCCAACCTCGATGCGAATTTAATTTCTAAAAAATAAGCATGCAAGAGGAAAAAGAGCAGGTAGTTTATTAGTCATTTACATTGCTACTTAGCTTTGTGAATATTGTGAAGGGGGATTTTTATTGGTTGAATAACACATGAGATACAGGGTTCAAAATAAAGTAGGTAAATTGATTTCAAATAAAGAATTGTATGACAGCTATGAGACTTGCAGTCTTCATAACATTTTTATAGGAAACAAAGCCTGTGCTAGGATTAGTTACTAGAAAACAATCTGACTTTCAAATAATGATAGATTTTATTAACCATTGTTCTTTGTAATAAATACTAGTTGGCTGAGCAAAACAAATGTTTCCATTTCAACCATCTAAAGGCAAAATAATAAAAACATGATGTTCCTCAGTGAAATGCAATAAACAATTGAAATTCACTCCTCTCTCATGAATGATTACAGCAATTTTCTAAATGTAGGTATCTGTGCCATCTTTCTCTACAAACTACCTCACAATATAAATTATGATTGGAGTAAATTTTTTGTTTACAATCCATCTTTCTTTTATGTAGAAATCTTTCTCTAAGATATATAATTAATGGTGCATTAATTAAGACAATAAGAAACTATTTTCTAACTGGTTCCAGGTAGTTGTTATGTTGTTCAATCACCATTACAATTCGCCTACATACTAAGTGGAACAATATTGCTGCAAAAAACAAAATCCAATAGTATGCAATGGAAACCTCCACATATTTGTGCTACAAATCGTACATTATTACGGAACTCGAAAATTGGAGGTCACACGTCTTGACATTTTCTTGTTTGGTGTTTAATATTAAGTGAAGGGCGATACGTTTACTGACGCACTAAATTACAATGTTGCAATTCCGTACACCAAAGATTATCGATTCTATTGTTTAAGATCATAAAGTGCATGCTATATTTACCTGATTTAAGATTAACAACGTCTCTAAATTACTGTTTTCCTTTTGTTAACAGATGTCATTCGTAATCAACACTCTGCGCATATTGTACACATAATCACGTAGATTTCCTACACAACAATGTTCACGCAAAGTATCTTGATGCAAAACGAACACAAACGTATATTTAACAAAACACTGCAAAAACAACAATTTCACTTTGCTTGCTTTCCCATCATTTACTTTGCTCACCACTTGCACAAATTCGTGATTTCGTGATTGTCTTTGTGACGAATTGACGTTTGGTTTAGTTGATTTTTTTCCTACTACCAAACTTACCAATTTACTAAAACTGTGGATTATTTTTTAAATTGGCAATATTATCTTATGATTTCGCTAATCGCTACCTTCGTTATTCTTGAATGATATCTTAAAACTTTGAAAACTAATAGATGTAAAGAATAGTAAAGAATGTAATCAACTTTTAGGTATAAGATTATTTATTATTTTTTGCTTGTTGTAGTAATTATAATGAATAAGTTCATTTTTTAACAAACTGTTTTCACGTTTCACTCTAGGGTATGAATCATAGAGTAAAATAATATATCGGGTATGAATGTACGCAATGTAATGCATTGTATGCGCACAAGATAATTTAAAGTTGCTGTAGATACTTAAAAATTTTAAATCATAGAAGTGTCTATGGTATGGTAGTTTTGAGATGTTTTACTGCTGGCAATATTTTTATCTACCATAGACAATTAACAAAAATGAAAATGTCCGTCGTGAAAGATACGCTCTAATTTATTTTGTGACTATTTAATATTCGTTGCTTGCGATGTGAATATTTTGTAGTATTTATATTCTTCTAAGTGCATATAATCCACCAAGATGATTGTTCAAGAACCTATACAGGTAAGTAATAATCAGCTTTTCCGATAGCTGTCAAATGAAATATTTTCGTGGAGAGACGTTTCAATTCATTTTAAATTCCCACAGGTTATCGTTTGGGATTGTCTCAATAATTATGAATACGACAATGCTATATTTCTGGCTGAGAGACTGCACGCCGAAGGTAAACATAAATCATCTCTTTAGACTAAAATTTGCCAAATTTAATCATTGTTTAACACCTGCATATAAGGTGCTGTTATTGATTTTTACGTAATTCATGATTTCGAAATTAATTATGCGCTTACATATCGTGTTTTATCATCAACGTTTTAATTTCTGTTTCAGTGGCATCGGAGGAAACTGCTTTTTTACTGGGAACTTGTTATTATAGAGCTGGGAAAATAAATGAGGCTCAATACTTGTTGCAAAACATGTCATTGACTTTACCACAAGCCAGATTCCTGCTAGCTAAATGTTTCTTGGAATTAAAATCGTAAGTAATACTTTAGCTAATTACTTTGTTACTGTGCAAATAAATAGTTCAATCCTTTGTTATTTACTTCATACATTCTGTAATTTCAGATTTAAAGATGCTGAACTTACACTTGGAAACAATTTAGATATTGTTGCTTCTGAATTTGGAGAACAAGCACCTTATGCATTACAACTTCTGGGTAAAATATATAATCTCACTGAAAGGAGAAGCAAAGCTGTAGAAGCTCACAGAAAGGCACTTTCATTGAACCCGTTTATGTGGAAATCTTTTGCACAACTGTGTAACATGGGTGAGAAAGTAGACCCTCACCAAGTATTCCAAATGAACAATACTGACTTTACATTTGGTGTAACTACATTAGTGAATCTAGTCAGCAATTCAGAAAACATTTCATTTGTTAATAGTAACAACATTCCTAATAATACTGCTATGAATACTAATGTCACACCCAACAATGTGGCTACAAGAACCCCTATGACAATGTCCACTAGCATCACACCCGAGACTCAAGCTCCTGTGAAGAGAATGCATAGTGTGTTCAGTGGCATGGCACCTATTCCTTTTTCACCCTCTTTTGGTATGCTACCGATGGAAGAATCTCCTGTACTATATACACCGACTCTAACAGACTCTAATGAGCAGAAAGCCATACCTAAGATAGTAAACTCATTACGAGCACAAATGGGCCAATTAAAAGATGCAGTATTCAGTCCAGCTCCTAGGTGTACTCTTGGACCAGCTCCACGGCGATCATCTAGATTATTTAGTAATAATAACAGCAGTTACTCAGTTAAAGAAAATAATAAGTCTCCAAGTAGAAAATTTGTAGCTCCTAAAAGTCCTTCAAGAAAAAATAAGCAGCGTACAGCCAAAAATCTCAAAAGTAACACAGTAGAAGCTAATGAAAGGAATAATAAAAGTGTAGAGACGGTTACACCAACAATTCCACCAAAGAACTCCAATGGTGTGGCTTTGTTAAATTTAATGCGAGATCTGGGAGAAGCCTACAAGTCACTGGCATTCTTAGATTGCAAAACTGCAATTAAACTATTTCAGGAAACATCACCAAAGCAACTAGCGTCTCCCTGGGTCCAGACTATGATAGCGAAAGCACATTATGAACTAGCTCAATATGAGGCAGCTGCAAAAATTTTTGCTGAAATTAGAAAACAATATCCAAATCGCACAGAGGGCATGGATATTTATAGTACCTGTTTATGGCATTTGCAACGAGAAGCACAATTATCAGCTTTATCTCAAGAACTAGTTGAATTGGATAGGAAAGACCCCATAGCTTGGCTTGCTGCTGGTAACTGCTTTTCTCTTCACAAGGAAAGAGAAACTGCATTAAAATTCTTCAAACGAGCTGTTCAATTAAACCCAGAAGCAGCATATGCTCATGCTTTATTAGGACATGAGTATGCAGTTGCTGAGGAAACAGACAAGGCTCTTTCTAGCTTCAGAGCAGCAGTAGCAATTGACCCACGTAATTACGTTGCGTGGTTTGGGATTGCTACAGTTTATGCGCGACAAGAACGTTGGAAGCCTTCTGAAGTGCACATTCGACGAGCTTTAACCATACATCCTCATTCGGGAGTTTTGAGGTGCCAATTAGGATTAGCACAAGCAGCTCTAGGCAAAATGGACAGAGCTCTTGCTACTTTAGAAAGGGCTGTTGCTTTAGACACAGAGAATCCTTTGTGTCGCTTCCACAGAGCTTCTGTTTTATTACGGGCTGGTAAACCAGAAGAAGCTTTAGCAGATCTGCACCATTTGAAAGATATTGCGCCAAGAGAATCATTAGTATATTATTTACTTGGAAAAGTTCACAATAAGTTAGGCAATTCTCATTTAGCATTGATGCACTTTAGCTGGGCTACAGACTTAGATCCTAAAGGCACGGGAGGACACATAAAAGAGGGCTTTGACCCATCCAAACAAGAAGACCCGCCAGAGAGGTCGACCTAATTGGTATGACGACTTAAAAAGGATTTAAAGGATTGCAGAATAGCCTGCACTGTTGTGGTTGGCAATGCAGTCAATACCTGACTGATCCCATGTAAATATCGCTCTCACCCGTCGAGCTCTTACTGACACCAAATTCTTCCAACAAAGCTTTATGGGGTTTGATGGGTGTGTAGTGGCATTTAGTCGCTATAGTAATAAGGGCGTATGTGGATATGTTTATATAGAGTAAGATGTGGATATTCGTAATGTTATCCTAGTTTATTATATATATCTTGTATAGCTAATAACTTTTAGAAAGATGAAAGAATATAATTTTTAAAAAGATGATGCTTTTGAAAGTTAATAAAGACTCAGAGCCTTGATCTCAATGGGATGTTATAAATAATAATCATATAATATAGAGCCATTAAATAATTGAAGTTGCAAATTCTTAAAATGCCATAATTATGAATTCCTGAAATCTAAATCTACTAATTGTTGTCCTCATATTTGTAAATAGAATCATTCCGTGCAGTGTATATTGTTCCTAGAGAACAACTGGCGGATATACATAAACATATAAAATCATGTAAACAATTTTATAAATCCTTGCATGAAGGTTTTACTTTGTATGACAGATAGCTTTGGATGTTAGTTTGGCTGGGGTCATAGAAATTGTTGAAACATAAGAACCAAATTTTTTGTATTCAGCTCTTGCTTCAGTAATCCTGGATCTTGTTTCTTAGCATCAATAAAACTGTTTCGTGTGTATGTACATAATAACACATTAACTTTATAGCACCATTGTCATTTGACATCACCAATGAACTGCTAGCTATGTGGACAAACTTGTTTAGACCACCTAATGTATGAATTTAATAAATAAAACTGATGTAACTTGCGGTCGTGTTTTATTGTCAGTAAATGCTAAAAAATAACATTGTGTCAATCGCATCTACTGAGGGAAGTAGCATTTCGCGCCACTTCCAATACAGTAAACTTTGATAAAACCATACAGTTACAGAAAAACAATGTATAAATAAAATGTTGACCCACAATATCAAACATCACAACATACTTTTTATAATTATAGAGATTAGAGATATTATGAAAAATAAATGCATGTTTACTGTACTGTATTGGGCTTGCCACCTATTGTTTCACTTTATATTTAATTAACTCTATGTAACAGTAAATAATCTTATCTGCTTAATTGTAGTAGTACACTGGAAGTATCGTTTTCTGTTCATCAATCTTCTTAATTACACATTTTTTCTAAACCAGGCACAGACTCACGAACTAGTCACAAACTGCACAGTTTAAATTCTTGAAACACAATGAATATAGTCACAATGTCTATGCAAACTTTTGTAATATTGAATCTAGTGCTTTTCTAACAGTGGGGTCACTCAGCAGTTTGTTCTGTGTAGTGGGTGGCGCGGGGGCCGGCGGCGTCGGGGCCGCGGGCGGCGGCTGTTCCACCGACGGCGGTATCACTTTCTTATCATTTAATATATTAAGAATTCTCTGTTGAAGATCTACTTGTGTTTTGTTGCTAGGGGCCGGATTCAATGGCTCCCCAAGCTCTATTTTCACTTGTTGCTCTCTCCGTTCCTGTAAAATAGAAATTTAATACGTGAATGCTATGTGAAATTAAGAAAGATAAGACTGCGAATGAAAGATTACAATATAAAAAATGGGATAATAATGAAAGTTAACAAACCTGTAAGTACTCTATGACTTTATCGTACTGAAGGACCGTGAGGGTGCGTCCGTCAGCAAGCTGGCCGAGTAACGCGTACACTGCCTCCCTACCAGAGGGACCACCTCGTTGGACCTCTTGGAAGTTGCGGGATAACAACTGAAGGGCATCTTCCAGTGGCATATTCCGATGTTCTATTAGAAAAACAAAAGACATTTTAGCATACAATCATACTATTCCTTAAAGCTTAGAGTAACAATCACAAAATTAGTGTAAATATATGAGGTATACGTTGTTTTGCTCCCCCGCCCCAACATGTTCAAATCCCTAAATAGACAGCAACGCATTTGTAACTCCTCTAGTTTTTGGAGTTCACAGGCGGAGTCAATTGCTAATCATCAATAATCATCATACAAAGATCCGACTACTCCCAAAGCCCTACTACATAAAGAAAACTACTAATATATTTTAAAAACTCACCTTGAGGCAGTCCATGAAGTATTGTAAGTGTTAAGGACCTATGCTCCTGATTTTGTGGCATCACTAATATTGCGTAAAGACAGCCGCGAGATGCGATATTACCAAGGACTTTGCCAATCGGTACATCTTCCATGGGAAACAGAAGATCAACCACAATGCCTAGCCTTTTGAGTCGACCTTCAATGTATTCTGCATATTCGCTGTAAATAAAAAAAATTAAACACGATTTATAAAAAGAAACAACAAAATGTATTTCGAACTTTCAAAACCAAACATATCGCGATTTACGGACTTGACTTTGTCGTAGAAACATTAACAAAAAAAATACTGATCAGGAAGCTACGATCTACTGTCAGTTATTTATTGGGTTCATAAAATTTACAAATTCTCAATACTAATACTAGTAGCACTAGCGACTATCTATTTCTCCGCCTACACATTCGACTCGTAACGATGATAACCATGGAGTGTTAACGCATTGCAATGTTTATACACAAGTCTCATCAAGTAAATAACCTGTCAGACTAGCTTCTCTTCGGCTAATTAGCTTCAATAAAATTCCATGAAACACTTAAACAGTTTCTATTAATAAGTACTTACGTAAGAGATTTAGAGACGACAATAATTTCACAATCATTTCTCTCCGTGACAGGTAGCGCTCTAGGATATTCTGACATTTGTTGATAGCGGTCGTAACTGCGCTCTTTCCATTCACCAACTAAACAGAAACCAAAACAAATAAACTCACTAAACACTAGACGCGTCTAACACAAAAAAGACACAACAACACTTGAATGAATAAGAGACTAAAAATAAAAATCAATTGCAATGAACAATTTTTCTACGAGTTGCGCAATTTGATATATCCAGAATAATAGTGTGCCATTTAACCTCGTATGATTGGTACATATACATAGTAAGTATGTATATACACATATAGGCAAAACGATGTTTACATTCCAGGGATATCGAATGACTATTTCTGGGTTGTTCCTAACACTACGTTATCAAAAATATGCTCAAAGTCCGATTTCGTCTGTTTCTTTTTATAAAGATGGAAGAAAGACCTTGAGTCGTCGAGAACACGAGCGTGCGTCTAGACGTCAATTTTAAAGTAAACCCCCATTCTGGTGATCGATATCTTTAAACTTTTTAAGTTATTCCCTTCTCTTGTTGTTTACATTCAAACACTGAAAGGCTACTCAGTTTTAAATTGTACTTAAATATCGTGCCATCTCTGTCACTCTAGAAGGAATTTGTAGCGACAGAACTATACTTAAGCGCGACTTAAAATTAGCCTTTCAGTATTTGGGTGTTAGATATTCACTTGAGTCTTAAAGTAAAAAATCACACGAAGAATGGGAACCTACTTAAAACATTAAAAAAAATAGGATATATTTAATTTTATAAGATACTAAGTCCAACTACTACTAGGTATTAGTACTCGGGACTTAACACCGCTCTTCAAAATATAAAGTCTTTAAAATGTAAGTAATAACGCTAAGTATGGTGACAGTGTCGCCTACACTAAGATAAGTAGGGGGTCCTGTTTGAAAATGAATATTAGAAAAGCTTAACCAATTATTTATCTTATACTATTAATTAGTTATAATAAGCTGAGGAGTTTATTTGTTGCTCTCTAATCTCAGGAACTCCTGGTCCACTAGCCACGAACAACAATAGTTCCGTGTAATTTACATTTAAATATTATTTATTGAGATCCAAATACAGAAAAAAAACTGCTAAAAAAAATTGTTACGGATGATTTCAATAACCATCATGAGATGGCGCTAGGAGTTCATCACAAGATATAGAAGCGAAGGGTGATAGTGACGTGATGAGGCGATGAGCATCATACCCTAAGAAAGATAGGAAAAAGTAGGAATAAGATGTTTCCAGAAATTCTCCATTCTGCTTCTCGAAGCTTTGTTTTGTTTGCTAAACAGAGCTTGGAATGTTGCTTGGTGCATGGCAACAAGCTCGCTCCTTATTGCATATCTGTTGAAAGGGTGGCTGACCCGATAGGGGAATAAAAATAATGACATTTAGGTATGCTTGATAGCTTTATGGTAATCCATGCAGTACGACTAGTATGTGTAAGATTTATGACCGAAATTAATAATCGACTTTAATCCACTTCCACATCTTTGAAAAGGTCTATGGAACTAAGTTTTTATTTAACAACATTCATCAAAGTCTGTTGTTAAAAGATATTGAGGTAAATATTGTATTGTAAAAATAATGAAATATGAATGATGATAAATAACAGACCTCTACCTGATACAGGGGAGCGCTCCCTGAAGCCGGGGGGAGCTCCACGGCCACGGCCACGTCCACGCCCTCTCGGGATTCCTCGCCCGCGCATTCCTCCCCGCCCTTCCCATCCAGGTTTACCCGGGTAACCTTCATCAAATTCTTCATCTCTGTAACCTATAATTTTATAAAAGTATTATAACGATTACGAGATTCACTATCAACATGATGGAATGTTCACTATTGATCAAAAATATATTTCAAGGTAAACTCTACGTTAAAATTTCATTAAGGGTCCAGAGTTTGTCCATATGTTTACTATGTGAATCATAAGTAATAATATTATATTTAGCTTAATGTACTTACTCTGATCTCCAATATAATTTCCGAAATTGTCATAAAGCTCTTCATTACCATCATCAGCCCCCTTATCATTGTGAGCCACTGCTGGTGGCATGTCAGATGCTGCTGGATCCACATGCCTACAAAAATGTTATAGTATTGTAACTCATTGATCCATAGTGTGCTCAGAAATATATAAATCTTATACTTTATACTATTGGCCCAATTTGAATACTTCTATTTGTGTTCCACAATGCTTTTATCGAGGATGTTACTAGGCTATAAAACATCATGCCACTATATATGCTATAGTACTTTGATATAACATTTAATTATCTACTTTATGTATTGAAATAAAAATTGCTGACTTTAACTTGTTATCTGTGTAAAATTGCTACCTTACTCAAAGAAATCTAACTAAACTGCACTCGACTGCATGGTTGCCACAGTGGCTGGACAACCGAGTAAAGTGTAGACATGAGCTTTTTGTGTGATCCACAAATTGTTGTTTCAGGTCTGGGTGTAATGTGTATGTGAACTTGTGTTTTTGTAAACACACCCACAACAGAAGAGACAATACTAGTGTGGGGTAGTTTTCTTATAAAAAAAAAACAAACAAAACTTTAAGTAGACACAGCAGCCAATCACAGGCAGTATACTCTTATAAAAACCGTTGATAAATGTGCAGATGCAAATAAACATGCACAAAGAAAGTTAGATAAAAGGTGACTGCGTTCAATACTATTACTATTATTTACACACAACATTATCATCATTACAACAGTAATGGTAGTCTATTGAACTACTGCCACTTACTTACGCTACCAGAGAATGGTTTAGAGTTATTAGAACTATTGTAAGGATATAGAAACCTAGTAGAGTTCATAGTGTAGTGAAATATTACCTCTTATCTATAACACCAATGTTTGTTTGTGCAGTTTTTACACTGAGACTCTTTCCTTGGAACATAGTCCCATTCGCTTTGACAATAGCTTCCTGAGCACTCGATTCTTCAGCAAACTGGACGAATCCAAAGTTCCTATTAATGACAATGCCATGTATTTCCCCATATTGTATGAAATGGTTGTATAACTCGTCCACTGAAGCACTGTCTTGTAAACCGCCGACGTAAATACGAAGATGGGACGTTGCCCGGTCTTTCATGGCATGTCTATCTAGGGTTAATTTGTCTGAAAACAATATAACGTTAAATTAGATCATAATAATTCTATTGCAGTGCTCATACTTACATAGAAATTAGGTGTTATACACATTTTAAAGAGCTTTTTGGGATAAACAAGTTTAAGTAAGAACGTGTATCATGTCATTAAAATCATAATAGTGTCATTAGTCAATTAGACATTTTGTTATTAGAAAGTCTGTTTCATTGTTTACCTGCCATCGTTTTAGTCTGAAAATTTATTCACGGCAAAGTTACAACAAAATTATTATTTTGTATTGGTTTCAGCAAGACGCGCTTTCACAAAACCTCAATAATCCATAGACAAATATATATTTTTTATTCTTCTATTATTTCTCGTTCTCTATGGTTCATGCCGGGGCCACACTAACGTCAACGTCAATGCCGATTATCGCGATGCTTACTACGATAATTATTGCGATAATCGTAACGCGATAAAGTGGGTGGCTACACTCGAAATTTCAACGTGAATGCCCATCATGCCAATCGGCAATGTGAATGCCGTTGTCAAATTACCGCGTTGACTCGTGGCTACACCTACGATGAACGTACATTATCGTGATAAGCAATGGCATTTCTCGTTGGTGTGGCCCGGGCATCACTGAGTAACAAGTGAAACAAGTGAAACAAGTGAAACAAGTGAA